TTATTGCGTGGACGGGGTGTGAGGGATGAGGTGCGGGAGATGTGGGAGACACGGTTGAGGGCGTTCTCGACCACCGAGGAGGGGAAGTTACGGTCCTTGAAAAACGAGGACAACTGAGATGTACGGGAGTGGAATGCCTCATCCTGGGAGCAGATGCGGCGGAGGCGAAGGAATTGGGAATAGGGGATAGCATTTTTGCAGGAAGGTGGGTGGGAGGAGGAGTATTCTAGGTAGCTGTGGGAGTCGGTGGGCTTGAAATGAATATCGGTTTCTAGGTGCAACCGTAGGAAGTGCTGCACCTGCCCCCATACCTCCTCCCTCACCCCCATCCCAGGCCCCAAGAAGACTTTCCACATCAAGCAGATGTTCACCTGCACATCTGCCAATGTGGTATACTGCATCCGCTGTACCCGGTGTGGCTTCCTCTACATCGGGGAAACCAAGCGGAGACTCGGGGACCGCTTTGCAGAACACCTACGCTCGGTTCGCAATAAACAACTGCACCTCCCAGTCGCGAACCATTTCAACTCCCCCTCCCATTCCTCAAACGACATGTCCATCCTGGGCCTCCTGCAGTGCCACAACGATGCCACCCGAAGGTTGCAGGAACAGCAACTCATATTCCGCTTGGGAACCCTGCAGCCCAATGGTATCAATGTGGATTTCACAAGTTTCAAAATCTCCCCTCCCCCTACCGCATCCCAAAACCAGTCCAGCTCGTCCCTGCCTCCCTAACCTGTTCTTCCTCCCACCTATACCCTCCTCCCACCTCAAGCCGCACCTCCATCTCCTACCAACCAACCTCATCTCGCCCCCTTGACCTGTCCGTCCTCCCTGGACTGACCTATCCCCTTCCTAACTCCCTACCTACACTCACCTTTACTGGCTCCAACCCCGCCTCTTCGACCTGTTTGTTTCCTCTCCTCTATCCCTCTTCTATCCGCCTCCCACTCTCTCCCTATTTATTTCAAAACCCCCTTGCCCTCCCCCTTTTCTGATGAAGGGTCCAGGCCCGAAACGTCAGCCTCTCTGCTCCTATGATGCTGCTTGGCCTGCTGTGTTCATCCAGCCCTGCACCTTGTTGTCTCGGATTCTCCAGCATCTGCAGTTCCTACTATCTGTGAATAAATGTTAAACAGGTTAGACAGCTCCAATAAGTGCGCTCCACATTTGATTATTACCCTGTCCATTTTATTCCCACCATTTAAATTGGAAGCTATGGTTGTATTGGAGTCTTCCAGCTAGCCACTGGCATTGAGGAAATCTGCACTTTTCCTCCTCTTGACCCAGATTATTTGAGGCCAGGTATAGTGCCCTGGATGCCAGCAAAGCTCCGTACAGACCTGGGACCTTGCTGGGTAGAAATGTTTTGACTTCTCCTGCTGAATCATTAGTCATGTTCTGATCTTCGATATTTGTAAAAATTATGATAAAGCCTTATTTTTCTCTTCAAAAAAAGCAGAATAATGGGATTTGAATGTTGTTGAAAAGAGAGATGTGTTACTGAAGTTTTTTGCATTGCGTTGATCAGGACAAATGCAAGAAATTCTAATTTTTAAAAAATTCATTTGTGGGCTGTGGGCGTCGCTGGCTGCCAGCATTTCTTACCCATCCCTAGCTGCCCTTGAGAAGGTGGTGGTGAGCTGCCTTCTTGAACCGCTGCAGTCCTCTGGCTGTGGGTTGACCCACAATGCTATTAGGGAGGGAATTCCAGGATTTTGACCCAGTGACAGTGAAGCAATGTCGATATATTTCCAAGTCAGGATGGTGAATGACTTGGAAGTGGTGGTGTTCCCATATATCTGCTGCCCTTGTCCTTCTAGATGGAAGTGGTCGTGGGTTTGGAAGGTGCTGTCTGAGGATCGTTGGTGAATTTCTGCAGTGCATCTTGTAGATAATACACACTGCTGTTACTGAGCGTCGGTGGTGGAGGGAGTGGATGCTTGTGGATGTGATGCGATGATCAAGCGGGCTGCTTTGTCCTGGATGGTGTCAAGCTTCTTGAGTGTTGTTGGGGCTGCACTCATTCAGGAAAGTGGGGAGTATTCCATCGCACTCGTGACTTGTGCCTTGTAGATGGTGGACAGGCTTTAAGGAGTCAGGAGGTGAATTATTCGCTGCAGTATTCCCAGCTTCTGGCCTGCTCTTGTAGCCACTCTGAGTCCAGTTGAGTGTCTGGTCAATGGAAACCCCCAGGATGTTCATAGTGGGGGATTCAGTGATGGTAACACCATTGAATGTCAAGGGGCGGTGGTTAGATTGTGATCTTTTGAAATTAGGAATTCAAGAGACAACAATTTATTTTCCTTTTCTCCTGTAGTGTAAATTATTGTGACATTAAAAGGAAATGACATTAAAGCTTTGGCAACATATAATCATACAGCGCAGAACCAGACCCTTCGGCCCAACTTGTCCATGCTGACCAGATTTCCAAAGCTAAACTAGTCTTATTTACCTGCTTTTAGCCCCTATTCCTCTAAACCTTTCCTACTCGTGTGCTCGTCCAGTTGTGTAACAGCACCTACCACTTCCTCTGGCAGTTCAACTTGTCTCTCTATCAGCAAGATTCCGATTCATTACTACCAAGTGTCTCTTAGAATATTAGAAATGTAAATGGAATGATAGTGGTTTCATTGTCAACAGTGACTAACTATTATAGCTGGTGCTTCTGCTCGGTATCCTTATACTGTTAAAGTCATTTTAATGATTGGAAACAATTCTGATTGACACAGGGAGTGTGCTGGACCAGAGCCTGGAAAGCCTCCTTCATCGACTGCGTGGGCTTTGTGACAATATGGAGCCAGAAACCTTTGTAGACCATGAGCTGGTTTTTCTGCTTAAAGCTCAACAAGGAAGTCCGTTTATTTTAAGGGCCCGGCGTTCTGTGGACAAGCCTGGCATGCCCTGGCACCTCCGATACCTTGGGCAGCCAGAAATTGGAGATAAAAACCGTTCGGCACTGGTGCGAAACTGTGTGGACATTGCAACTTCTGATGGCCTAACAGAGTTTCTGATAGAGATGGGCTTCCGAATGGACCATGAGTTTGTGGTGAAGGGGCATGTTTTCCGCAAAGGAATTATGAAGATTGTGGTGTCCAAAATCTTTCGGATTCTGCTTCCTGGTAACATTGATAATGTCGAGCCACTGTCGTTGTCATACCTCGTCGAGCTGAATGTGGTGGCGCCTCCTGGTCAGGATGCAGTGTCAGATGACATGAAAAGTTTTTCAGAACAGCTGAAGCCTTTAGTTCATCTGGAGAAAATTGACCCTAAGAGATTACATCAGGTGTAGGGAGCAATATGTAACATTAGTGTGCATGGTTTGTGTGGTTGGGGAGAAATGGTATTCCCGTTGATGCTCTGGTCTGGCTGAGTTCTGAATGTGTCTGCTTCTAAAATTAAAATGTTTTTCATGCTTTTAAAATATTTTGAATAAAGTTACTATTTGTCTTAAACTTGATCATGACTGCCCCAATCCAGCAAGTGAAGGATAAATTTTGAGCCTGATCATTACACATTTTGTAATTTTTTTATTTACGGAGATACACTTTGCAAGTATGCAACTCCAGACCCTGTTCTCTCTCTCACTCTTTCGCTTTCTTTCTCTTTAGTTCCACAACTCCGTGGATCACAACATAAATACAATTCTTTTATCTATTTTCCAATATATATCCAATCATATCCTTTCTCTATTAGATTTAGAAAAAAAATCAATCAACCATGTTTCTTTAATAAACACAAAATTATTGATTAATTACAAGGTAAAACTAATTAAAGAAAGATGTGAAACTGGTTAATACACGCAAGTTATAATATGAAAGTATAAATGTTTACCTCTCTAAACTCAAAACAGACAAACACACCCACTCCATATAAAGAGAAATCAATAGATTTTTTTTATCTGCAGAGGTTTATTTTTGGAAAATTAAAAGCACCTTTAGCAAATAAGTCTTAGTATTTGAATACAGGAAGGGTAAGGTTTGAGAATAGATGGGGGTCTATCTGATGCTCTGGCAAGTCCTGATGGGTGTTAGTGAGTGAAGGCAATTGTCTCTGGAATCTTAGTTAACAGCTTGCTCAGGAACATAGTTGTGAAAAGTGAATATCAGGATTCTCAACTTGAGTCTTTTTTTGAGATGGCAGAGCTGAATTGGGAAGCTCCTCTTAACATAAAAGCAAAATACTGTGGATACTGAAAATCAGAAACATAGAGAATACTGGATGACCTCAACAGGTGTGGCAGCGTCTGTGGAGAGAGAAACAGTTAACATTTTGAGTCTGGGATGACTGCTTCAGAACATAAGAGAAGGTCTGAAGAAGTCATACCGGACTTGAAATGTGAACTCTCTCTTTCTTTCTGCACAGATGCTACCAAATCTGTTGAGTTTCTCTAGCAATCTCGGTCTTTGTTTTCAATTTCTGGCATCTACAGTATTTTGCTTTTATTGTAATGATATTGATGCTGTAACCCAGAAGAAGCAGTGTTTCTGTAGCAGAATAGTTCCCTCTATTAGTTATGTATTTGATTTGATTTGAGTGAAACAGCCTCCTGACTCTTTGAACAAAGATGGGACAGTTTGAATGAATGTTTACCTTGGTGGACATCCTTGGCATGGCTTATCTACATGATATTATCCTGAGAAGCTGATGTTGAACTCTCTTTCTGGACTTGTTGATTGAATGCAACTGACTGAGCTGGAGTCACATACAGGTCAATCCTGTTAAGGACGATCATATTTTCCTCCCTGATAGCTTCATGCTCACATTTACTAACATCAGCTTTTTATTTCTTCAGGTCTTGTTTTGATCCAAATTCAAGTTTTCAACTCCCACTGTGGGCTTTGAACGGATTCTTTGGGGTTATTGCTGGGCTAGCTTCCACTAGGTTTAAAAAAAAGACATCCTCAGCATGCATGCAAAAATCTGTGGGAAGGCAACATTTTCTCAGTTCTGAGTGGAAATTCATGCGGAGATGTTAACACTACTTCCTTGCCCCCAAGTGTCTTTAAAAAAAATTCCTGGCAGATTTTTCTTCACAGCAGACTCTGCTATGTTAAGTCCTCCTTCCTGAGATTCTATTACAGAAAGAAAAAAAAAATCTAGCTGTGCTCCAGGAATGCTATGACTAGTTGTATTTCTCTTAGATGGGTTCACCGCGTTCAACATATACAGGAGTTATTACATAAAGCTGTACAAAGTAGAAAATACCAACAACAATTTGATAGTTACAAAGACAGTCCAATTATCAAAGGTACTCAGAAACCAGTGACACCAGCTTTTTAATTTCTTCATTTTTTTTTGAACTGAATTCAAGTTTTAAACCCCCACCTTCCCCTTTAGGCTTTGAACTCATTCTTTGAGATTATTGCTGGAACATATGGAAACGTACATCTGGAAACTTTTAGCTGCTTTTGTAAATTTAAAATTAGAGCCACAAAACTGTAAATGAGAAATCCTTATTTGGGAGGTTTGTTTTGGAACAATTGCTTTTTGATAATGTTTGGAATTGGTTTGTTAAGCTTGTAGCATGATTTTCATTGAAACTTCAGAAAGCAGTGTACCAAAGTCTCCTTTCGGGGTTCAAATTTCTAACCACAGCCGAGAAGTAGAATACTGTGGATGGTGGAGATTGGAAACACAATGAGAAAATTCACGAAATACTCAGCAAATTTGGCAGTATCTGTGGAGACAGAAACGGAGTGAACATCTCAGAATGATGATCTTCTGTCAGAATTTAGAAATAAGTGACAGATATGCAGGGGGCCCTCAATCTATAAACATCTGAGTCACGAATGTGATCTTGTACCAGTGTGTAGTTTTAAAGACCCAACATATGAACATTTCCTGTACTTACCAACAGCACCTTTGAACTATCCTGCATTGTGTTCCAACTTGCCTCCCAATGCACTTACAAACAGATTATGGGATAGAACCTATTTGCAACCTGGGAAACTGTCTGTAGTAGTTTTTGAGCAAGAAGTAGTGAAAGGTAAATCTGTGAGAAGGTGGAAGATATAAAATAAGAGCAGAACATGCTACTGGAACTCAGTGGATTAGGCAGCATCTGTGGAGAGAAACAGCTAATGTTTCAAGTTCAAAGACTCTTCTTTGAATCGTAGAAGTTCTACGGTGTAGAAGCAGGCCATTCAGCCCATTGAGTCCACACTGACTTCTGAAGTGCATCCCACCCAGACCCACCGCAAGCAGTCTTTCCCCGTGACCCTGCATGCCCCATGGCTGATCCATTTTGCCTGCACATCCCTGGACACTATGGGCAATTTCGCATGGCTGACCCACCCAATCTGCATGTCTTTGGACTGTGGGAGGAAACAGAAGCACCCTCGGGAAATCCACGTAGATATGGGTAGAACATGCAAACTGCATACAGACAGTCACCTGAGGGTGGAATCCCTGGTTCTGTGTGGCAGCAGTGCTAACCACTGAACCATTGTGTAGCCCTGGGTTTCATTTCCAGTTAAGAGTCTTTAGAGTTGAAATGTTAACTCAGTTTCTTTTGTTTGTTTCTTTACTTGCCCCATCATCTTTCCTTTTGGCTCCGAGCAATTAACTCATTCAGTCTCTGCTCTTCCACGCTATCGTAGGTCTTCCTTTTATTCTTCCTTTACTTCTCACTGCAAACCTATTAAATCTCAAACTTTCTCCTGTTCCAACGAAGGGTCATTGACCTGAAATGTTAAAGCTGTTTCTCTGCCCCCTGATGCTGACTGAGCTGTGGAGTATTTCCAGCTTTGTTCATTTTTTAAAAATCTTTTTGATGTTTGAGTTCCTTTTCTGGATATAATGGAGCTTTTACTGAAAATAAGCAAAGAACTGTAGATGCTGAAGATGTGAAGCAAACAAAGACAGAAATTTCTGGAGAAACTCAACAGATCTGACAGCATCTGTGGAGAGACAGACAAACAAAGAGTTAACAATTCGAGTCCAGTGGCCCATCATCAGAACCAAAGAAAGAGATGTTTGCTAGAAAGTTCAATTGCGTTAACCCTCAGCTATCACTTATTGACTGCTGCAAATTTGATCTTAAATACTGGAGCTAAAGATGACTGAGTTTGCACAGTTGTCAAGTGTATTCAGGATTGAGGATGAGATTGGAGAAATTTTGATTCTACAATTCCAGCAATTGTCGGTGAACTTAATACCGATGCACAACAGATCTGGATGAAGATTTTCACCAGCACAACAAAGATTTTAAGTCAAATCCAAAAGTACTATGGATACTGTAAATCAGAAACAAAAACAGAAATTGCTGGAAAAACTCAGGGGGTCTGGCTGCAGCTGTGGAGACAAATCAGAGTTAACATTTCAGGTTGAATGACCCTTCCTCAGAACGGTTCCCCAGTTCTGAGGAAGGGTCACTCGACCCGAGACATTGACTCTGATTTGTCTCCACAGATGCTGCCAGACCTACTGAGCTTTTCCAGCAAATTCGTTTTCATTAAAGATTTTATGTACACAGAAATGAAAATGAAACACAAGGAAGTGTTACATGGCTTGTGGTACACTTATTTGTTCTGATTATTTTTAACGTAACATTTAATGGAAAATCAACCACAAATGAAGCATTCTAGATTCCACGGTAAATGCAGTTGAGCTGTCAACTGTAAACCTCTGCTTAGGAACTCAATTATTGAAATGGGCTAAAGTGCACTCAATATAGAAGAAACAAAGGCTTACATTTGTATACCACCTTTCATGACCATTTCAAAAGCACTTTGTAGACAATTAAGCTGTTTTGATGCATTATCACTGTGTGATGTATGAATACTAGAGCTTGCACAGCAAGAGTTCACAAATACCAATGTGATAATGACTGAATAGTCTGACTTAAGGTGTTAATTGAAGAATTGACCAAGACACCAAGGGCCTCCCCTTCTTTGAAATGAAGCCATGGATCTTTCACCTGAGCGAGCAAACAGGACTGTGGTTTAATGTCTCATCTGAAAGAAACATAGAAAATAGGACCAGGAGTACACTATTTGGCCCTTCGAGCCTGCTCTGCCATTCATTATGGTCATAGCTGATCATCCAACTCAATCCCTTGTTCCTGCTTTCTCCCTATACCCTTTGATCACTTTAGCCCAGGAAAACATCTTCAATAGTGCAGGCTCAACATGGACTGTTTGTTTCAAGTCCAGAGATTTAAACCCACGGATTTTGGATTCCGAGCTTAGGGTGCGACTGAGTGACACATGCTTGACCCTGTATTTATGTTTACATGTGTCAGTATAGACATACAGGGAGTCCCCGATTTACAAATATCTGAGTTATTTGTAGGTATGAACGTAATCCCATACATGGTTTTAATTTTAAAGACCCTACATAGGAACATTTCCTGTACTTAGAACAGCTGTATTACATTTTCTGACATTGTCTCCTGATTTGTGTCCAATCGACTTATGAGCAAACTCCTAATTGGAACCTGTTCACACCTCGCGAACT